ACTATTATGCATCAATTCTTTTGACTACGAAATTTTCATTAGCCTTTTAATTTCTATACCGGTTCACGAGGTCTTTCGTGACGGCTTTAATTTGTGGTATAGTTTGAAATAATTTTACCAGGTCCAACCTGTCTTGCCGCAAGGCTCACAGCTGGGGCACCATGACCATTCCGAGGTGCCTAGGCCGAGGCAGGTAATCTTTAATTTCAGTACCAAATTTAAAATAAATAAATATAATTAAATGCCGGCAGTGGAGTCAAAAGGGCATCCAATTTAATTCTTGAACAATTACGTCATTAATTTTAAAAAAAAAAAGGGAAAAAGACTCTGAAAGGGGTTTGAATCACGTAAGCAATGAGAATGATGAAAGATTGAACAACTTTTTGTTGAATGACTTGTAAGTTTGCAATTTCAAACCCGACATTTTCCATTCCACTAGATCTTTCATATCTCATTTGATTTTTAATGAGATTATTATTATTATTGTTATTATAAGATGGAAATTAGTAAAGATTGGTCTAATCTCCTAATCAATTGAGAGAGGATTTTGAAAATTGTGGCTAAGATTTTGTTTGATAGAAAGGGTGGAAAAGGGAAAGGATGTGTAAAAAGTATTTTAATTTAAATGATCAATTTTCATGCCTTCTTAATTATTATACATCATACACTGTATCCTATCAATCAAATTTTAAGACCTACAAAAAAATTTTGGGTAATTAAGGTTTTAATCAAGTTGCCCTTTTAATTAATTAAGACACACATATTAAAATAAAAAAAAAATTTGGTCAACCAAAATATTTATACTAAATATTGCAATTCTCCTAAAGTTTCGCCAGTCTAATATACCAACCATCTTTGTCGAGGCTCCGGCACCACAAAGCAATCAGCAATCACATTACAAATCATGACAAAAAAGGGAAAATAAAATAAAATTACATGTCCTTGTCATGAAAATTTTGGCCTTGTCATTCGTCACCACTCACCACATTTGCTAACAACGTGAACGAACCTAAGCTGTTGCTTTCATCGACCAAACAATTGGTGACGTTTTGAGTTTGGAAAACCACACAGTTTTTCGATGGTCATGCATTTAATTGGAATTATTATTGTATAAAAGTCATTCATGAATTTCCAAATTTATAATTATAATTCGGAAATGAATGTCCGTCCATACAAAGTTAATAGTTACGTGCGGGATTGATTCCTGGTTACGTTTCCTCTTAAAACTAAGTCTAAACCTTTGTCTGATAGATTATGACTACAAGGCAAAGGCCGTACGTGCATGATCTGTTCTCAAAGGAAAAAGCAGAGAGAAAAACTGGTTTAAGACGACGAATATGTGCTTTCGGTAACATTTGTGTTGTTTCCAACTAATGACAAGTTGCGTAAAACGAACAATCTCTTCGAATCCGTACACGTAATTCGAACTTTCTACTTGCATAACTGAGTAGATTGTCAAGGCTCCCCTACTGACAGTGATAGGGGACGTACGGTTCATGCACGATCATTCCAAGAGAAACTGACAATTCTTTGGTCCGACATGAAGTTTTGGTTTGCTCACCTTGCTTATTTAAAGCTAATAGAAACTCTACAAAGATATATCTTGCTGTAGCCTGTAGATGTAATGTATTAAGTTAATGAGCTATGCTGAAGGGTGTACAGCATTGACCTGATTCAGAGAGTTCAGCCAGTGGCGTGCCATGAATTTATGCTACATGAGATCTCAGGCTTATAGGTTAGATATAATTGGATTCACATATATATGCTATGGTGCAAGACTCTGAAGGAAAGCTTTAATGACAACTTCCTACTTACATGGCTTACATGCAACCGCTCACGTCCATGGCAGCAGCGCCAGCAGCAACGTGAGAATAGAAATGAATGGACTTGAAACCCTTTTGTAGACAAAAGCGTTTGACAATGTAGTGTTCAACTGTTGTTGGGTGTCTTTTAAGCCATTATTTCCTTCTACAAGCTGCCAACTTGTTTTGAAATATCCACATCTATATATCTTTGCATCCATATAATTTTTCCCCTTGGTCTAAAGCAGATATAATCCTTCCCGTCCTTTAACACCTAATTCTTTAATGAATCTAAATTTCAATTTTCCAGGTTCTTAATATACCTACTTTGATTTTATATAATATGTGTTAATATTGAATATTCATGATACATTATTAATCATAATTTTAAACATGAACAAATTGAAACCCAGAAAAATTTGGATCACAATGTTAGTGTCATGTCAAGCACTGCAGAGGAAGTAAGACATTTCAAGTACCATATCGAGCAAGTAAGAGGATTTTGAGATTTTTATAAGCATGGACGATAAATATTTGGTCAAATTAGTAAAGTGTTTCAATCTCATATAGAGTAGGTAAAGATATTTTGAGAGATTTATTAATGTGAGTATTGAATGATTTTTTAAAAAGAAAATAATGATCTCGTGACATCATCCTATAATACTAATTTCCCCGTGCAAAAAAATTATGGCAGCTGCTGCCCTATTTGTCAATTTAGGCCAATTTCGAAATGAAAATTGATTTGACAAATGAGTTCCAAAATAGCAGCTGCCCTATAGCAAGAAAACAAAGTACGTCGTGACAATCATGGTGCAGAACTAAGAGGAAAGAATAATTTCAAAGGTTGAGTATCTGGTACACAAGTTTCATATTCTTTCGCCCCCAGAATGACTATAAAGACTAAAAGAAGGAATTAATTTGATGTGTTTACACTTAGGAACTAACGAGTTCTTGCTTCTAAATATTGTTGAATTATATACTTGCAAACAGGACCACTGTTATTGAAAACTGTACCTTTGGAAATTTGGGTATCCCATTCCAATGTGTTGTTGATTTGGAAATCATGGGTTTGAATTCCCATTTGTTAATTGAATGATATTTGGTGATGATTTCTCTACATATTCATCTCCGTAGGGGTAAACAAAACAAAATCAGATCAACTATTTATTCAAATTAAATGTGATTTGAGTAAATGGTTTAATCTAATTGGTCTATTAGATCAATTGATTCAAAATGTTTGATTTAATTGGTTTTTTAGTCAGTTTTCGATTTTAAAGTTTTTAGACTAATCCATCCAAAAAATCAAACTAATTATATATATATATATATTAATATATATAACTTTTTTAATATATATTAAGAAAAATTGATAGTAAACTTAATTAATAATATACTTAAAATATCTTAGTTTATTTTGTATACATATGCAAATCATAATTATAGTAATTTAATTTTAATTATATATATTATTTATAAATATGTATTAATATGAAATTACAAGTTATAACTTTTAAATGATATAACTTATATGTTAAAATTGTAATATATGATAGTAAATATCCTAAATATTAATATGTTATAATTATTACACCTTAGTAATGTTTCGTAATATAAAGTGCTATGAATATATATAATTGTATAAATATTATTTATATTTAATTTATACATAAGTATTACAATAACTTATAATAAACTTTATATATGTGATTACACTTAATAACCTTATTAATTATTACCTTAGTTTTTATAACATATTATTTATACAAATTTTGATGTAAAACTTTATAACATATAAGTTGTATCATTAGTTTCATATATATAATAAAGTAATATTTTATATATACAATATTTAATTTATGCATACTTTGTATATTTTATTAATATGGATGAAATTTATAAATTTTAATATTATAATTTGTACAAAAAAAGTGATAAAATTTTAGTCTATTGATCCAAAATCAAACTGATCAAATCAATTTTATATTTGGTCGATTTTGTATTTCTTTACGTTTGGTCTGTTTTGATTAATTTTTTAAAAATGTTTGATTTATTTGGCTTTTAGGTATGGTGGACCAAATCATCTAATCCACTCATTTACTCATCCAACTAGATTCATAAATTTTTAGCATAAAACATTATGGTGAGATAGAGGTCAAAATTCCAATTGAAAGAAACAATTGTATTTCTTTTTTATTTTAGCTATTAAATTGACAGCATCATAAGTTTATATTTTCAATTCAAAATACATATATATTACGTGAAAAAAGGTTCTTATTTATAAATTTAAAAGTGGCTAATATTAAACACAGCTGGCCATTCTATACAGCCTTAAGTTTTCTGACTGCAAAGAGCAAAAGGATGAGGTCTAGTATGGTAAACCAGGCTAGAGAAGCAATCATCAGACCGCATAGCGCAGTGGATTAGCGCGTTTGACTTCGGATCAAAAGGTCGTGGGTTCGACTCCCACTGTGGTCGAGTTTAAAACAAAGCGTTTACTTTTAGGTATTTTGCGTTTGAAATTGGAAGCTTATTAATGGCCAAAAATGGCAACTTGTTAGCCCAATGAGATATGGCTGAGCCCTATAAATGTTTCGGCCTGACCCTATACTCAAATTCCTACAATCTGCCTGACCCCACAAGTGCTACTTCCACCTATGTAAAATCCTGGATTCAATTTCAATTGACCCCTAACAAGTGGTCTAGATTCTACTAAATATCTAATATTTCATTAATTTGGCTGCTGATTATTACCTAGCAATACGTCATCAATGGCACAGCCCTGGCTCTATATCAGGGATCGCTGATTATTGTTTGTGCTCAATTGTTTCTGACACACAAAATTGACCAAACTATCATTCTCTTTTCCTTGTTTTTTCCCTCTAATTGAACTTCCACAAATGAACTTGAGTCCCAAAAAGATCCTCTCCATGGTTACTTCATCCCACTGTCCTGTTGTCTTAACAGCGTGAATTTCCTTTATTTCCATAGCAATCACTTTTACCAAGAGCATGCGCTGCTCACATCGAGTTGTAACTGTAGGGAAAACAGGAAGAGAGGGAGGAGGAGGAAGGGAGAATGTGGGAAAAGGAAACTGTTCAAAATGAGGTATTAAATAACAGACAAAGGTGTACCTAAGCTTGTTGATTCAGCATTAAACAAGGTTTTTGACAAGGACTTGCATGAGTTAAGAACACATTCTGAGATGAGAAATCATATTATAAATGCTCAAGCAAGATGTTCTTACGGAAAAACTGATAAAGGGACAAAAAATGATGCTCATATAGGCTGCATCTAAACCGCGATTCAGAACTTTTTAGACTTCTAAACAAGTAACTCACACAAAAAAAGAAAAAGAACACTTGGCTCCATTACACTTTGATGGCATATTTCCTTAATGGGAAATACATCTCCCTCTTCTTTTCTCGCTCTGTCTTCAAAGATGCCTGCATTAAAAGCCAGAATAACAAATTAGTGCATTAAAACATTGTTGGGAGAAATGCAGGATTACCTGCAAAAATAGCTTTACAAAAAGAAAAGAGTGATTGTAAACTTCGGGAAGAAGTATCAAAAGTACATCAATTCAAGTCTTTTCAGTAGACTATTGCCCTACCAAACACCAAGAAAAAAAAAAAGAAAGGAACAACCAACCATAATCCTTGAATTTAACTATAACATACATCCACACTATGTCAAAGCTACAAAGCATAACCAAGGATTAGTCATCATCCAAATTTAAGGTTCCTTATATGCTTGAGGACCATGAAACAGATAATTGTGCACTAAAAAAAATTAAGCTAATTCATAAATTATCATATATATAAAAGAGTGCTTAGCTTAGTTTTGTTCAACTTTAAGTCCCTGTAACTCATCAAAATCTTCACCTCATTAACTACCAAACCTGTAACTCTTTTTTGGCTCATCAAAGTTGCAATTTCTAAACCTAAGGCTATCATCAATAAGAAAGAGGCTGCTTTTTGTTTGGTCCCTCCCCGTTCTCTTGCTTTTTGTAATCATATATCATCAATCAAGTAAAAACACATTCGTCACAAACACATCTATTCTATCACTCAACTTTCAGCCATGTCTTCTAGTTAAAAAACAAAATCGGATGAAGATTTTGCCCTCAGGACATAATTCTGACGCTTAAAATCCTAGGGTTAGAACTTATCAATGAGAAGGGTTTCCATCATTCTAAGTGCCAAAATTATGTACTAATGTTGGAACTCACCAATGAGAAGGGGTAACCATAATTCTAAGTGCTAGAATAATGTAATTATGAATTAGATTAGTAATTTTTTCTCTAATATACAATTATTTGTTTCATGATCCTCGAGCAAAAAAAAAAGAGCCTTACATTCTTTAGTTAAATGAGTTCCAACGTCAATACCTAGTTCTGGCACTAGTTCAACATTAAAATTCCGATCCTTACCTGGTTGATTGATATATCTTTCATGTAATGCACTTCACAGCACAGTGGATTAGCGTGTTTGACTTCAGATTAAAAGGTGAGGGATTCTACTCTCACTGTGGTCATTTGTAAAACAAAGTCTAATTTAGGTTTTTAGGGTTTGAAATTGGAAGCTGATTAATGACCAAAATGGCTACTTGTTAGCCCAATGAGAAATGGCTGAGCCCTACAAAAGTTACGGCCTGACCTCATACTCAAATTTGTACAACCTGCCAGACCATATAGGAGCCACACCATCTATGCAAAACCCTAGAGTCAATCTGAATTGACCACTAATAAATGGTCCAAATTTTACAAAATATCTAATATTTCATTACTTTGATTGATTTGCCTAGCAATAGCTCATCAATGGCACAGCTCTGGACCAGGGATTGCTGATTATTGTTGGTGGTCAATTTCTGCATATCGTGCAATGGTAAACAAAATTGACCAAGCTATCACGCTCTTTTCCTTCTTGTTTTCCTCCAATTAAAACATTGTTGGAAAAAATGCAGGATTACTTGCAAATATAGCTTTGCAAAAAGAAAGAAGAGATTGTAAACTTCAGGAAAAAGTATCAAAAGTACCATCAATTCAGGTCCTTTCAGTAGACTATTGCCCTACCAAACACCAAGAAAAAAAGAAAGAAAGAAAGAACCAACCATAATCCTTGAATTTAACTATATGATACATCCACACTATGCCAAACCCACAGAGAGTAACCAAGGTTCAGTCATCATCCAAATTTAAGGCTCTTTATATGCCTGAGCACCATAAAACAGATAATTGTGTACTAAAAAAATATTAAGCTAATTCATAAATTATCATAAATATAAAAGAATGCTTAGCTTAGTTTTGTTCAAACTTCAACATCCCTGTAACTCATTAAAATCTACACCTCATTAATTACCAAAGGGGTAACTCTTTTTTGACTCATCAAAGTGGCAACTTCTAAACCTTAGGCTATCATCAACGAGAAGGAGGCTGCATTTGGTTTGGTCCCTTCCCCTGCTCTTCCTTTTTCTATTTATGTATCATCAATCAAGTAAAAACACATTCGCCACAAACACATCTATTCTATCACTCAACTTTTAATACTAGAAACAAAACCAGATGAAGATTTTGTCCCTGATTCTGTCAATACATAATTCTGGCACTTAAGATCCTGGGGTTAGGACTTATCAATGACTAGGGGTTGCCAAAATTATGTACTAATGTTGGAACCCATCAATGAGAAGGGGTAACCATAATTCTAAGTGCTAGAATTATGTAATTATGTTGTTTTTCAGAATCATGAACAATATCTTCATCCGATCTTATTCTTTTACAACTAAGCTAAGCTAAGCATTCTTTTCCATCTCTAACAATTAATGAATTAGTTTAGAACTTTTTTTTCTAATATACAATTATTTTTTTCATGATCCTCAGGCAAAAAAGAGAGCCTTATATTCTTTGCTAAATGAGTTCCACCGTCAACACCAAATTCTGGCACTCGTTCAACATTAAAATTCCAATCCTTAACAGGTTGATTGATATATCTTTCATGTAATGCACTTCATTATGCAACTGATCGATCCCCGGGAAAACCTTGGCTCCTGCTATAACAAGATTTATTATGAATACAAAACAATTACCCCCCATTGCATCCTATAGAGAAACTAAGATTACGAGACACTGAAAGGATATGCCTCCATTCCATAAAATCCACCCACAGTTCCATTTCAGGCCTCAACCATTCCAAGCCCTACATTGTTAGCTACAAATCTACGAAAGCCATTGGAAAACGCTGAGCTCCTGAAAACTATATATATTGCACTACATTATTGTCTATGCCATCACAAACCAAGCCAACCACCATCAGATAAGCTAGCTTTAAAGTATCAATCTTATCATCACGACACAGTAATTCTTTGTATATATACATAATATTCAACCACATAAACTACCAACATTTCAATAAGTGAAATTTTAAAAAATATAAAAATTTTAATAAACCTGGTGTTTAGTAAGGCGTCGGCGAATGGCACGTGTCTTCTTGGGACGGAGATCCAAAGGAAGGAACTTCTTCTTCTTATAAGCTTCCCGAAAGGCCGCTTTTTGCTTCTGCGATATCACCGTCAAAACCTGCGCGATCGATAACCTCACAACTTTTCTGCACCCAAAAAAGTTATACATTTCAGAATCAATAAATGTAAGGGGAATTAAAGAGAAAATGAGAGGGTAAATATGGGTAATTGTTTCATTTTCGAGAGCTTGTTAGGGGCACTGCCGGTGACCTTAGCAACGCGGAGGAGAGCGAGCTCTGCTTTCAAGTCCTTCAATTGGCTCAACAGCTCCGCCTTGGACTTGTTCCTCAGCTCGTGAACCTTTATCCTCGCTTTCCAACCCCCCCAAAAACAAAAACAAAATCACATCAAATTAGGCATAAAAAAGAAATCAACTTTGAAATTGAAAAGGACCTGAATTTGCGTTTGTTCATCTTACCCATTGTAAGCTTTGCTGCCACGGCTGTGCTCTTCTCTGTCAAAACCCTGGAAATTGGAAGCTTTCGTTTTGTTGACTGAGAGGCAAAACTAAGGCTCTGGATCGCTCCAAGCTGGCGGGCTTTTCCTAATTAGGGCTTCATTTCTTGACCCAATGAGGCATTTAACGTTTAGGCTGGGCCTTGAATGGTGGGAGGAAGGGACTCCATGCCCACATCTATTTGGGAATAATTTTGCAAATTATTGATCTTAATTTCCACACCATTTCCCCCCCTAATTTAAATTATTGATCAAAGGGTTTAATGAATTGAAACATCATGGGATTTTGTTGTTAAAATTTAATGTAAGTAGGTTAAAGTCTTTTGTCTATGTTGTGGTTTGTAACCATCAACCATTTCCTCACTTTTATTTCCCATTGCCTTGTCAATGATTTCTTCAGTTGGATGGAAGCATGTGCGGTTCTTAGTGTTGGGTCCTTTGATCTACATGCAATGCTTTTATAACAATGTTTGCACAACGTGCTGACATGACAGCAATATGTAAATTTCTAATCAAAGCAAAATTAAATTTTTTAGATTTAAATCTTGAAAAAAAAATATAAGACTCATGATATGACATGCATCTACTTATATAAAATCAATAATTAATTATTACAAAATTTACATAAAAAAAAAGTAATTTCCACCTTCAGTTCTTGCAATTCAAACATCTTACAAATATTTTTCTTTCAATTAACATCTCGAGATTATATTGTTAATTTTGTTTAACGAAATTATCTAATACCCTCTACTCAAAATTTATTTATTCATATTTTTATGACTTTATTAAATAAATTAATAATTTAATTTTTTATGAGAACGAAAATTATTCAGGGGGAACATTGATTAATAATATCTAGTACTTAGTATTTGAAAATTGATATTTCAAGTCAAAATGCATGAAGCTTGTAAGCATTCTTTATGCATCATTAATATGCTAAAATAGGAATAAAATTTATTAATTTTTTTAATTGCATAAAAGGAATTTGAATTTATATCTTAAATAAGCGGCCAATGAGCTAAATATTCTGATGCCACTAAGATGATCATCCAATAGAGAAAAAATCACAGCCGTAGAAACATAGTACTGTCTGGGGAAGCATGGCGCCTAATTTTGGTCGTGTATCCACCGGAATACTAAACCGATTCTCTTCTAAATTACTCAATCTCGTGCTCTTGTAACTACTTTTCAAGAAAATGACCCCCTCCCATATCTTTTCTTGCCTCTCTCAATTTCTCTGACTCTAGCTCTATTCAATTTTTGGGTAAAAAGCAATGAATTGAAACGTGTTCCAGGCTTCCAGCTTCAACTTCAGCTTCACTCCTTCAACCCCATAAAAACCAAAGCCAAACCCAAGAGAAGAATAGCTGAAGAAAGAAGAAGGATTTCTTCATTCATTGAATTCCTAGAAAACCAGAGATGAAACAGTTACACAAGCAATCAAGCGTGAACCATAGGCGAGATGAGGAGATCCCATCCAACCAAACACCTCCTTACTCACCCAAATCCTTAAAACAACCCAGATCTCTCCCTAGATCCATTAACTATCTCTTCAAAGAACAACGACTTCTTTTTATCCTCGTCGGCATTTTAATTGGCTCCACTTTTTTCATCCTCCAGCCCACTCTCTCCCGTTTAGGCCCAACCGAGGTCCGTTCCTCAATCCCCAGATCTTTTTCCACCGACACCACCACTACCACCACCGCCGCCGCCTCCATTTCCCACACCCAGGACTCCTCCGGTTCATATTCCACCGATTCCAACAAGCGCTTTCATGGCAAGGTAGGGCGTGTCCCTGTTGGGATCGGACGGCGGAGAATGAGGATCGTGGTCACGGGCGGGGCGGGGTTCGTTGGGAGTCATCTTGTTGATAAGCTAATTGGAAGAGGCGATGAGGTGATTGTTATTGATAATTTCTTCACTGGGAGGAAAGAGAATGTGGTTCATCTTTTTGGGAATCCGAGGTTCGAACTCATTCGACACGACGTCGTTGAGCCTATTCTCTTAGAAGTGGATCAGATCTATCACTTAGCTTGCCCTGCTTCTCCGGTTCATTATAAATATAATCCCGTTAAAACCATCATATCCTTTACTTTTCATGTCCATTTCGCATTAGCATTGGGCATTTGAAGTTTGTTTTTGCATTTTTATCCATGTTTTAATTATTGTTTTGGATAGAATATGGTGCGTTTTTGTGTTTGATTGAATAATGTTTAATTATTTGAGATCCTTGACTTGGTGAGTTTTACAAGACAAATGTGATGGGTACTCTTAATATGTTGGGACTTGCAAAGAGAGTGGGGGCGAGGTTTTTGCTGACCAGCACGAGTGAGGTTTATGGTGATCCGCTTCAGCATCCTCAGAAAGAGACCTACTGGGGAAATGTCAATCCAATTGGTAAGCAGCTAGTATCAGTGCCTCAATTTTTTGTTTTGGTGGCTTGTTTCTCTGTTATATGTTTGTCTAATTTGGTGAATGTGGTCATTAGGCGAGAGGAGTTGCTATGATGAAGGAAAAAGGACTGCTGAAACCTTAACTATGGATTATCATCGAGGTGCAGATGTTGAGGTATGGTTTTTGATATTTTTTTGTATCTGAATTACATTGGCATGATTGATTTATGTACCAGATGATAGGATATCGAGCACCTGCTGTAGAAATTATATGTTGTAATATTCCTGGCACCTAATTTTAATAAATCCCATGGCATTGACAGTCCAGTTGTTCATCGTTTTACTGGCATTTCAGAATCTTAGTAGGACGATTTTAGCATATCTTTCTACACTGGCATGATGTAGTATTATTACTTGCAGCACTATGGCCTTTGACGCTTAATGAGGTAAAATACCTTGTGATAGGTTAATTAGTGCTTCCTTGAGTGGCCAAACAACTGACTCTTGATCATGGGTAATGTAATATACATGGATAATCATGGAATTTGTAGTAAATAAAATTTCATTGTCCACACGCAAACTGGTCAACTTGAGGAAAGGTTGGGGTCAAAATGCACAATTTTCTTTTAGTAATGAGCTTAATGTATATGTGAAGTCTAATTTACAAATCTTTTTCTTAAGAATGTGCTAAAAGAGTATGCGTTAATGCCTTCAGAAATGTATATTAAACTCGCAACAGTAGTGAAGCAAGGTTGGCCAGATCCTGTTTTGGTCAGTCAGTTGCAACTTTGAACTGATAATCTGATCCTTACCCAAAAACTAAAAGATAGACTTTCATTATTTGACCATGACTTGAATCTGCATCTTACTACAACTTAATGCCTTCTGCTTCCCCTGTATTACACAAGTTTCACATGAGTATCATGAATAATGTATTTGAATCGGTGATTATAAAGGTCAGATGTCATATGGAAGATATTCTACATGTGATGATCAAATGATGATGCTTGCTGTTTGCAGGTTCGAATTGCTCGCATTTTCAATACTTATGGGCCTCGTATGTGCTTGGATGATGGACGTGTTGTTAGCAATTTTGTTGCTCAGGTTGACTTATACTTCTAATATTTTTTGGCATTCATGTACAGAAATTGGTTGAGATTTGGATTATGTAACATTTGCTAATAACTGTAGCTTTGTTTTTCAGGCCATCCGTAAGCAACCAATGACTGTTTATGGTGATGGGAAACAAACACGAAGCTTCCAATATGTTTCAGATTTGGTATGGCTGGTTATTATCCTTGTTAGGTTTCTGATGCTGCCATTTTTTCAGTCGCAGCTGCAAATACAAAGTGACTTGAGCATTTATATTGGTATTTGAATTGTGAAAACAAGAGAGAAGAGGGAAGTGGAAAGAAGTTTGGTAATTTCTCGTTTGAATTGGAGTGAGAAGTAAAAACTAGTTATACGATTCCTTTAATTTGAACAGTTAAAAGTGAGATGATTTTGGAAGTAACAAACATGTGAATACATACAATTGGAGATTATTTCATCTGTGGCTCATCAATGACAGGTGGATGGACTTGTTGCTTTAATGGAAGGTGAGCATGTAGGGCCTTTCAATCTGGGCAACCCAGGAGAGTTCACTATGCTTGAATTGGCGGAGGTTTGTCTTCCTCGATGCATTTTGCTTTCCATTAAGTTTATGTGAATCTTAGCATTCACAGAGCCCTTCCAAATTCATTTTCCTCCTAACCTTCAGGTTGTCAAAGAAACGATTGATCCGAGTGCAACGATAGAATATAAACCAAATACAGCAGATGATCCACATATGAGGAAACCTGATATCAGCAAAGCCAAGGAGTTGCTCAACTGGCAGCCAAAAATCTCCCTAAGAGAGGGGTTGCCTCTTATGGTGAGTGATTTCCGGAATCGCATTTTGAACGAAGATGAAGGAAAGGGAGCTTAGGTGAACAAGGAAAAAAAAATATAGCGAAACAAAGTATGTATAGTGTGAAGAGTATCTGTATGTTGTCAAGGCATTTTCTTAATATCATCCTTACTATGCATTTCCTGGAAATTTAGCAGTACAACCCCCTCTATAGGAAGATCTGTTGTTCCTTCTATGATAATCAGTTCTAATTGTTCACATCTGCACTGTGCATTTGTTTGCACAGAGTCAAGTTTTGACTACTTTTAAAGTTCCCTTGCCCTCAATGGACACATCAGGGTGGATACTAGTATCATCTTTTGAGAGCTATCATTAAGGTGAATAGGAGCAATTCGCTTAGATCATGTAGGTGGTTGCTTTTTTAGTCCTTGCCCTCTGGGGCTTTGCTGGTTCAGGAGAAGTTGAATGTTCATCTTGGTGGGCATGACTTGATTGTTTAAAGGCGTTTATGCCTTTCAAAGGCTTCACTTGGGCTTTGATTGGATTTAGCGCATTTGTAAGTTATTCTTTCTTCTAAGTTCTAGCAATAAAATTTGCTTTATTTTTCCATATTTTCCCTTTTTTTTTTGTTTCATTTTGGGGAAAGATAAAAAAGAAAAGGAAAGAAAGAAGGAAAGCAAGTCTTTGGGTGGGATGGGCTGGTTGGATATGGACCACTGGTCGTTCCGAAAACTTTTTGCTTGGGCTTTGGTTGGGTCAGTCTAGTCCAAAGTTGAATGGAAGTGAGATTCTCATCAAACCTTTCTTCAATATTCCATTTGGCGCACACCCGAGTAAATGTTACCACTCAGCAATATATCTCATCTCTTCTAATGGTCGTAATAAAAAACTTCTCATCACATTATCCAGCCCAGATCACAGAGTAAAGATCAGTTCCTTTCGGCCATTTTCTTTGTGAAGGGAAAGTTGGAAAATTGGGATAAAAAGGGCATGGTCTTAACCAGGGACACTCGGGTCGGGGACCATAAGAAGAATAAAGGGGAAAGTTAAAGTCGTTGTGCCCAACCCATCTTTCCTCGGTTCTTAGTTCTTTTCCTTCCTATGGTTTTCTTTTTCTAATCAAATCATTGGTTAATAATAAGATTTTCCTTTTCCTCTCCCACAGGGTAAGGTAGCTCCACTACCAGGTACAATAATTTGCTAAAGTGATATGTCGAACCCAAAGAAAAGAACAGGCCTTTATGTAGTACCAGGTACCTACATTTCCCTGCGTTACACCATCAAATCTTTTCTGAAATAAATTGCAACACCCTTCTTGGAAGGTATTATCAAGTTAAATTTAAACCAGTTCAGGCAAGCCATCAACACTAATATATAGCAGTAAATAGGATTCTGTTGGCTTACAACTCTCATAATTCCCCCCACTTCCTATACTACCAAAATGTCGTAACTGATTTGAATTTTTGAAGTTGATATAACATTGGGTGTTAGGTGCAAATGAAGTAATTGATTTTGAAAGGTTTCAATGCAAAGGAAAATGTTATATGACAAGCACTTAGATTGAAAATGCCTAGAAGAAAGAGATATTTGTGAGGTTGAATATATGTATATATCTGTGGGCATAATCAGAAGTTTATGACCCTGAAAAGAAAAAGAAAGGTGATAGGAGAGCAGGTTAATGGAAAGGAAAAGATAGCTATAGCTGATCAATAAGCAAAGGGACCCCTTCATTATTTCCACTAAGAAAAGCCTCAGCAAGGAAAGAGAAATGGGTTGTTGGTCAATATATGAAAACTCTTGAATGGGTCCAAGGCCGAAGGGGTTGGGAATTTAGGATATAAAAGGAGAGGAGAAAGAAAAAGAAGTACAGCCACATCGAAGCATCTGATTCCACCAGGTTTTGTGAAGGAGGATTTGAGTTAAGAAAGTGGCTTTGTGTCTCATCCATCTACAATTCCAAAGGGTTTTATATATCTGGCAGCATATGTTCTATAAGAATCTGAATAAAATCATTAATGATAATAATTGTGTATTGCAGGAACAACTGGGCCTGCCTGTTTGTGTTACTGCTATGCCTTTGAGAGTGTGCATGTGTAATTAGACTGGGCGTGGGGCATTTTCCCTTTTCTATTTCTTCTTCTATTTGATCTTTTTCTGCTTGGTTTTAAATAACAATTCAAAGTTTCAAGCATTCTAAGCCATGGTTCATGGACCACAGAGTTTTAATTCTTCACCAACTACCTCATGAATTATGATTTTAAAGCCTATCTGGAACTCAAATAATTGAGAAATAAGTTGATTTTCAATGCTGTTGGTTTTCGAAGGGATTGCTATTGACTTCCTTTCATTAAACTTCATGAAGGAGACTGACTGGTTCTTTTCCATATTGCAGCTGGGGCAAGTAAAGCTAAGCTTGTTGTGGCACCTTGGGTTTTAGAATTTTGACAGAAGGGTAGGGTTTCCTGACCAGTAATCAAAACTCATTGATGTTTTCCACCAACCCCAAGTAGAGGCCATTTCCCATTTTTCTAATCAATGGAGAAAACATCTGTGGTTTTAATTAATGTCATGTAGACAGCAAACATAGACAAGAGAAATTAATGTAATAAACCATGATCTTGCTCTTTAAGTGTCCTGCCTGCCTTGTCAATAAATGTAGCATACTATATAGCAAGCTGGTTGCTAATAAAATTTTTACCGTTGCTCTGTCTCATATGAGCCCTTAGGCAGTTGACATGCTTTCCTTTCGAAAATTGAATTCACAGACAGTAGCCTGATAAGTAGGCCATCCCCCACCTGACCAACAGATCAGGAGGCATTTTGCAGTCAAAATTGTTCATGCTTGTATCAAAAACGATGAAATTTTTTTTTGGGTTAAACAATAGTTTTATAATCAGGCTAACGTGTCATATGAAACTGGTCGCGTGAACTCTATGTTGTCTCCAAGAATGGGATCTGATAAATTATTGTATGTTCACAGTGGAAGTACTAATTAAGTATGATTTATCAGAACCATATGTGCTAGTGTTGAGCATCATGTTCTTGTTAATCTCCTGATTAAAAAACAAAGATGGAGCCATACTTGGAAAAGAATATTAATTTTTGGAACATAAAATTAGGGCAAACACAACCATGGTACAAAGTGCTGGGAGGTACTGTGAGAAGGTCCTATACAGAGAAAGACTGGAAAGAACTTCCACAAAGGCTTTTAGCCCCATTGTTAAGAGATTTACATACAGTATTTTGAATTACTCATTAAAAGAACAAGCTAGCTAAGTCTCTACTTTGGGTCATTTTCATCCAATTGACATTTAACACCTCAAAAAAGGGTTGGTTGCATCTTATTACAGATCAGATTCTGCTATTCTATTTTGCCCCTTCTAGTGAAAGCATGAAAATTAGCAAAGGTATTGTAACAATTGTGCTAAGAATTGTAGTCAGATAGACACCTTTCAATCAAATTATTATGAATCCAATCTAACAATTTTGTGATGTGGCAACATATTCATTGGAGAGTAAGGCTAATTTTTGTATTTCAATATGTAGAGTTTTGGCTACAGAAACCTGTAGATATACAATACAGTCGTGTTGGGTAGTCCATGACATATTCTGTTTTCTTTTCTTTTTGAGGTATTTTTTATCTTCTTTTGCATGTAACCTTTTAACTCTCTTCTCTCTCCTCCTTTATGCAAGAAGTCAAGAAACCAAGCATAAAAGCAGAACAACCAACCTTCTTTTGGAAGTTCTTCTCTTTCTCTCTCTTCTTATGCAGATTCTCTAAACCACTAGTTATCCTTGAGTGCTATCAATATCAAAACTCAAAAGAAAGAAAGAAAAAGAAGATGAAACGAATGGATATCTTCTGTGCATCCCAAGCTTCAACAGCCATATGTTTGACCATGGATCAAGCCTCATCCTCTTGCTCCTCAGCATCCGCCATTCAGCTTGGTGGCCGAGCCATCGACCGCCACAACCCCATCATTCGAGACGCCAAGAGATTCACCAGAACTCTGCCTTCCAACCCTTGTACATCTCAGCCGCCGCCAATCAATCCTTTGCCTTACCATCAGCTTAGGAAGACCGAGAAAAGGTCTTCATCAAGCAAGCCAAATGATCATACAAAGAAGAGTTCTGCAGCTTCAGCTAAGTCCAAAGATCACAAGAAGAAAAGCTCGACTATGAGCAGTTCATTGAAGCCAACTGATCATACCGTTAGCAGGAAAAGCACTTCTGACATAAAAGATGCAGATTCTGGTAGGAAGAGCTTTGCCAAGGCGGTCGATTTTGTCACCCCTCCTGGCTCCTCTAGGTACCTCTTGGGTGACGCTGCGCTTTTCGATGGAATATCGGATTATGATCCAGTTTGGGCATTGGTTCCTGCCGAAACAAAGAACATTCAAGCTATAAAGCAAGATCAATCCGTTGTTTCGAAACCCTCTTCCTCCTCTCTCTCAGAGAAGCCTTCTGCAGACCAGGTTTTTTCCTCCTTTCTTTCATTTATCACCATCAATTTTAGTTGAACTTTCAATTTTGCATAGCCTGCTGGGAACATTGCTGAATATGAGGCATCTTCAGGTTTATATTCTTCAGAATGTGCAATCTGAGAACTATTACAGGCCAGGGTGGTGGTAAACTTCAGCACTTTCGTAAATTCTAATTCCCTATCAATTTGCTTTCAGGTTGTGGTTTTAAGGGTGTCATTGCACTGCAAAGGCTGTGAAGGAAAAGTGAGGAAACATCTATCTAGAATGGAAGGTATCACTGTCACTTCTCCTCCACTTTAGCCTATGGTGTAACAAAAACTTCAGGACTGTCACTATTTTTTTCCACTGCCTTTATTGTACTTTTACCAAGTACCTATTTATAGATAAATGGCTGTAAGCTCAATTCCTATCTTTTACACTTCCATGAATTGGAGTTCACACCAAAATTTACAAAGAACTTAGCATAGATCTTTTGTAATGATTTGACCAGGAGTGACATCCTTCAGCATCGACTTCGCAGCAAAGAAGGTGACAATTGTTGGAGATGTAACACCATTAGGGGTCCTGGCAAGTGTGTCAAAGGTGAAGAGTGCACAATTGTGGACATCGTCAATGTCTGCCTCATCTGCATCGACAGCTCTTGCCTCTGGCAATTTAGCAACCAAGAAATAATACTAATAGCAATGTTTTGAAGAAGAAATCTAAAGAAATTAGACTACTTTTGCTTGTGAACCTGATAAATTTAGTGTGTACATGGAACTTGGTATTGGTAGCCGAATCAGAATCTCTGTTGCTTGGACAAAAGTTGAAAAAAAAAAAAGTAGTGGGGAAGTTATTTGGTTCTCTTTTGCCAACTATGTTCTAAGGGATTCTCTCGTTTCTATTTGGGAAAAAGGAGTGCCATCTTTTACGCATTCACAAGAATCACAACAAACTGAAAGTCTGCTTAGGCCATGGCCCATTCACTCATTTTGTCCCCCCATGGTGGGTTTTGCCACGAATCTGCTATCGCTTTGTGCTTCCCTATAACATATTCCCCTTTTTGATTTTAGCATAACTAATCAAATTAACTATTCACCTCAATTTTCTTTAGGAATTCGTAAAATAATGTTGATTTACAGGCTCAAGGCCATTTCCTTGTTACATCTTTCAATATCTTCAGCAGTTTATCCAGGGTAAAATATACAACAGATCATGATTGAGAACTTCACAAGGAAGCAAACAAAGAGAAAACAACTAGTACTGCTATCTTTCTGACTTCAGACCCAGTTTTACTTTCTGTAAACCTGTTAATGGAGCTTGGGGAAAACTACAAATCCAGGTGGCGAATGAGGAGTAGAAAAAGCCTGTAAACTTGATAAAGCCAATGGGGCATTCTTCATAGCAACTATTGGTTCCCTCAAACCCCATACTGCTCATCTTCTTACACATTGCGTTTTGGAAAGACTAATCAGCCTTCTTTCGGTCCTCAACTCCCCATCCAAAACAAGTTTCTCCTTGTTAATCAGTAGTAACGTGGCATGAATTAAATACCCTGATAAGAATACTTGATCATGCTTCTTGTTCTTTTGGTTTTCTTTCGAAATTTGCAAAGTGTAGAACACATGCAGTTCATTGATGTTGACCTGTAGAGGAGAAATGCACATGCATAAGATAATGGGTTAGCAGGTCGTACGTAGAAACAGAACATGCAGCAGCAGAGGCAATAACTATAGGCCTATGGGCCTTCTGGTTTGGGGTTAAAAATGGTTGACATAGTTTTCTTTTATTACTTGGTTATTTTTTTTTGTCTTTTTCTTTTGACCAAAGCTGAAATTTCATTTATTTTTATCTACCATCGAACCAATATCTTGAAATATATATATATATATATATATATATATATATATATATACACAAACACACATATAACATATAATACTCGAAAAAGTTTTTAAATTGTTTAAAAAAATTTTAATAAAATTTTATTTTTTATTATATTCAATTAAAATTTATATTTTTATTTTAAATTAAATAAACTCTTATTACTAATAGTTAACTAATTACTATTAATCAAAATACCAGTTATAATTTTTATACTCATATAACACTAACATGACGTTTACATAAAGAATGAAAAATATCGCATGTTAATATTATCATATTAAATTAACATATTATATTATTATTAATTATAATATATCAATATGTTACATCATCATTTATTATAATATATCATTATTTCATATTAATATCATAAATTATAAAATAATAAGTAATAAAGATTTATTTGATTCAAAATAAAAATATAAAAATTTAATTAAACATAATAAAAAAATAAATATTTATTTAAATATCTAAAAAAATTATTATTTATTTTTTACTCATTAATGGGCCTTATCGAGCCCAATTGGCAAGGTCTATCACACACAGATGTTAACGGATGGTCCGCTAGAAATTAGATACACAGTCCAGGGCCTAGACATGGCTAGGGAAGAGGAGATGCAAGTCTGACGTAAAGGAAACAGAGGAATTTGACAACTATAGAGACACAATCCATGGCTTCCTTTGCTAGGCTTTTACATTATTGTCTCATTTTTATTTTTTTCATTTTGGGTTTAATAGAAAGAAACAAGTTATTAGACTTTTTGTCCATTTAATTGCTATCGTGGCATATTTTGGTGCATTGATATGGTTTTTGATTAAATCCCCACCATTAATAGGAGGGCAAGCCGGTTCCCTTATATTTCAATTGGTGTTGAACTTGTCAGATGAGAGAGAATTAAATAAATAGGCTTTTAGACAATCAATTTAATACAAATGCTACTACATGAAACAATCTAGTTGCATTAGACAAGGACAGTGGAAAGGTACAAACTTATCCTAATAATAGTCCTAAATTCTTCCTAGTGCAACAATTTCCCTTGTATACATATAAATATATACGAATACATATTTTCCTTCAAATTTTGCTTTGCAATCTTCGCCGACCAACCTTTTCTCTCTTCCAAGTATTCTTAATTCTTCTAGGTATGGAGAGAACCCGTGTTCTTTTCCCATGTTCTAATGATGAAGAAGTGGATTGTGATGAGGAGTTCCTCAGACCACAGCCGTCGTCGTCATCTTCACCTCCCTCAGGGCAGCGAAATCTTCATCAGCTTCCACCCTGTTTACCTTCCACTCCCCACTGTTACGAATTTTTTCCATGCAAACCTAACCTTAGAAGACGTCTGTCTCCCCGGTGCTTTTATGGTGAAGAAGAGCATCAAGAACTACTCAACCTTTCTCTTTCATTAGGGCCGCCACAGACATCATCATCGTCTAGCGTACCTTGTACTCATCAAAAACTCTCTCTTATGAACAGCCCTAACCCTAAAAAACGTCTGTTTTCCCAGAGCTTTGATGGTGAAGAAGAACATGAAGAAGTAATCGACTTTTCTCTTTCAATAGGGCGAGGGCCATCATCATCGTCTGGCTTACCTTCTACTTATAAAAAACGTCTGCTTTCCCGGAGCTTTGATGGTGAAGAAGACCATGAAGAACTAGTCGACCTTTCTCTTTCACTAGGGCGAGGGCCATCATCATCGTCTGGCTTACCTTCTACTTATCAAAAACGTCTGTTTTCCCTGAGCTTTGATGGTGAAGAAGACCATGAAAAACTACTCAACCTTTCTATTTCATTAGGGCCCGGGCCATCATCAAGACCAGAGTCATCATCATCGTTTGGCTTACCTTCTACTCATCACGAACGTCCTTTTATGGACATTAACCGTAACCCAGTCCGTGAAGAAGCGAGTACTGGCGCCGAACATCGTCGACCTCGTCCCCGTTCTAGAAAAAACCCGTTTCAGAATCCCAAAGCAGGGAAAAATGAAACCATAGATGCACCATATCCATGGGCTACCACTCGACGTGCCACGGTGCATGATCTTAATTATCTCCTGTCTCATGGCATTAGCATGATCAGCGGTGATGTCGAATGCAAATCATGCCAAGAAACTCACAAGATCCAATACAACTTGAGAGGAAAGTTCAAGGAGATTAAAGACTTTATATCAGCCGAAAAGTTTGCGATGCATGATCGAGCACCCTCTGCTTGGATGGATCCGACGCTCGATAGTTGCAAGACCTGTGGGAGCGCTCTGAAGCCAGTTATTCCCAAGAAAAGGGCAATCAACTGGCTGTTTCTGCTGCTGGGAAATATGCTAGGGTGCTGCAAGCTCTCGGACCTGAAATACTTCTGCAAGCATACCAAGAATCATAGGACGGGAGCCAAGGATCGAGTTCTTTATCTTACTTACCTAGGATTATGCAAACAACTAGATCCCCATGGACCTTTCGATGTTTAATTTTGTTTGCAATTTTAGATTCTTAGAATGCTGAACAAACCTTTTCTTGATTATTTTTTTTTTAATCTTTCTTTTTCACTTGTAAGATGGGTGCTCACTTGTAGCTTTAATTTTATGTAACAATATTATATAGAGGAAATTGTGAAAAATAACTTTCTCATAAGTTCAATTTAAAAATATTATTTTTTATAATTTTAATTATTTTTAACTAATTTTTTATATGACTTGATAATAATATCTTTCAAATAATTTCAGACAAATTACAACCCGCCATCCAGATAAAAATTGTAAAATTAAATCTTGATTTCTCTCTGTTTACTAACTAATTACGTAATACTTAAAAATTAATATTTTTAATTTTCTCTATATAATATTATTAACCCTAAACCCTATTAACTAGTCATGCAATGACATATTAACCAGTTACGTAATATTTAAAAATTAATTACGCAATACCTTAAAAATTAATCACAATGTCCAAAAATCGATTATATAGTGTTTAAAAACTATCAAAAGTACTAAATTCCATTTAACAAGATTAACAACTTCCGATATACACAACATAGTTAACGAATATATGTACTTGACAAAGAATACTTAAAGTGTTCAAGAGTTTTTCTTCATATTTCAAAAATTATTACAAAATGTTTAAAAATGCTTAAAACGCTCAAAAGTTTTTTTCGTGTATTAAAAACTATTCTAAAATTCTCAAAATGCTTAAATGTTTTTTTTCTAGTAAAGAATAGATGAATGGTTTGATGAGAAAAACTCAAAAAATATAAATTGGTTTGAGGTACAAACCTAAACATATTTGAGCCGTTAATAAGTTTTGGGTTGACGCGCAGAGCTAAACAAATAGTTAAGTTTTATTAAAAGTAATTTTATCCAAATTTAAATTCTTTTAAATAAAAATAGTTAAAATTATAAAAAAAAAGCTTATTGTTAAAAAAAAAAAGCCTTACTTGGCTTTTTACAATAATTTCATAATTTCATGATAAGCATGCATTTTTATATGAGAAATTAATTAATAGACAAGAATACTCAGCTGAAATGAAGAGCAAAACTTCAATACTAAAATAAATTTTATCTTCTCATAATAAACATATTTAAATTTTACCAAAAATACCAAATTATGTTTATTAACGAAATTCCTAATTTTTGACTAATTAAAGATTTTAATTTCTAGATTTTATTTTAAAAAAGAAAAAAACTACCTCCATCATAAACCTCCTTAAAAATCTCAATTCATACCCACATCCGGATTTCACTCAAGAAGTGATAAAATTCTTTTGTGTTTGAATTCTTTTTGTTTTTCGAATTTCAACCTAGACTTTCAATTCTATCAGGACTTATAACAAAAAATACGCAAGCAAGTCTCTTGTCTAACCTTATTTCTCACTTTTTCTGACTCATTTTATTACACTTTTCTCTCCCTTAAACCTAGTCTTTGCTCACTAGTTTAGTTCTTCTTCTTTTTCTCTGTTCCGTCTCCATGGAGAAAGCTTCTCAACCTTTGCAAGAGTTTGGTGGTAAAGAAGATGATGAAGATTTGCTCACTCTTTCGCTCTCAACAGGGCCCAGGTCATCAGCGCCAGCACCACCGTCGTCACCCTTCGTGCAAGAAACCCATCAACTCATTTGTTTGCCTTCGACGCCAGTTCCACTATCACCACCAACTTCGTTTTTCCAACAGTTTCTCTCAATCCCCCAAGCCCCGCCGCTACCACCTTATCATAACTACCAAACCCATAGCCCTAACCTTAACCCTGACCACAATGCCACAGTTCCTCAAGAGATCGCCAGCACTTCACGTCCATGTCGTTCCCGAAGAAACCCTTTTCAAACCCCAAAACAAGGGAAAACTGACACAGTCCCAGCACCTTACCCTTGGGCTACGACTCAACGAGCCACGGTGCATAGCCTCGATTACCTTCTATCCCATAACATAACTACGATCAGTGGTGAAGTCAAATGCAAAAAATGCGAGAAGATTTACAAGATTGAGTATGATTTGCAGCAGAAGTTCACGGAGGTTGCATCTTTCATATCGAGAAACAAGTTGTCTATGCATGATCGAGCACCGTCTGATTGGATGTACCCGACCCTTCCTAGTTGCGAATTCTGTGGTAGCTATCTGAAGCCTGTTCTTCCAAAGAAAAAGTCCATAAACTGGTTATTCTTGCTCCTGGGACAGATGCTGGGATGTTGTAAACTTTCAGAGTTGAAGTACTTTTGCAAGCATACACATAATCATAGAACCGGTGCTAAGGATCGGGTACTTTATCTCGCTTATCTAGGATTATGCAAGCAATTAGATCCCAAGGGTCCTTTTGATATTTGATCCCATCTTCAGTTTTTTGTTTAATTTTCACATTTAAGAACGATTGTTTGTTAATTTTGTTCAAATTTTTTTTTTCAGATTTTTATATGTTTGAATATTTCAGGTTATTATTTTGTTAATTTATATCGTTTTATTACTATTACAATATCAATTTAAGCTATATATCCTAACAAAAAGATATCCATATAGTTGAAAGGGCATGGAAAAATATTGGGTCGATTCTCTCCTTGGATAAATTTGCATACAAAAGGCAATTTGTTTCCTTTTGCCAACTAGCCAACCCAAAAATGGTGGGTTTTGCTGAGAGGGTGAGAAGACCATTGGTAATGACCTTCGTTGTTCGACAGCCCCAGTCTCTGGTCTTGTTTTGGGCTTTTGCCATTTGCGTGCTATGGAAACCTCAAGTAATTCATGCAATTCAAGGGGAAAACAGACAAGAGGGTTTAGCCATTTAACTAGATTCTCAAATTCATATCTTTATACATCTCGACAGAAATGGTGGAAAATGGTAGGGTTAAATGTTTGATACTCTGCATTTTGATAGATTCTTGCCCGTGTAAAGATTTAGAACTTATTTATACAGTCATTTGTATATGGTGAACTTTCTAAACCAAAAGCATATGGCTACCCCCTGCCACTTACCTCAGCGACTAGTTCATCTACCAACAGTCTTTCCATTTCCCTACATATTACATCAATATCCTCCCTCAAGTATAACCATTGAGATTCCCCTGCAAGCACCATCTCCTCGGCATCCATGTGCAGTTTCTTGTTTTGGCCTACCAGAGACTTGCGCAGGCTATCTTCGAGCTCTCCTATATTCCACTTCGGAATGATTTTTCTTGCAGATTTCACCCATGGGTGTTGGTCAATATATTGCTGATAGGTCTCCAGTAGCTTTGAATTAATCCTATCGAACATCAACCTCCTTTCAGCCCGTGACCAAGAATTTAGATTACAATATTTTTTCTCGAGTTCTTCAAATACAGACGGATTCACTGGACATTCTGGAGAATGCCATGTCGCTAAGAATGTATCCAGGTTGGCTCCATTAATTCCAGAATTGACCAAGACATCAACTATGTATACAGACTCCCAATTCTCTTCAGCCCTTGGCATCCCCTTGTCCTCAGCAAACCCAACCGATACTTCATCAACATCATCATCACTTGAAATAAGCATAGTTCCCTCTTCATATGCCTCAGATTCTAGTTTTAATAGTTGAAGTTGCATCCTAAGCCCTAAAAACATAAACGAAACTAAAATTAGATAGAATAGATAGAATCACAGACAATGAAAACATAAACAAAACTAGGATTAGATAGAATATATAGAATCACACACAATGGAAACTAAGAATGGAACGTTTCATGCAGCATACAAATTGGATGAACTTATGGCAGTTCTGTATCATAATTAAAATTTAAGCAATAATGATAAAAAATTATTCACTCGGACATCAAGGACAGCTTATGATTCCATGGCTTCAAAGTCCCTTAATAGTAGAATCTGATTAAATGATTTGAAAAATAAAAAAACAGTGGCTTTTCTAATACAAATGGATGCTAAATATGTTTACTTTTTTTGATAATTCAAATGGATACTAAATATAAAAATAACGAAACTAGAACAGCCACTAAATTACCATGGAGATCAGCACTAATACTCTCAAAGCATTCAGAACCAGATGATAAATCATCTGTAAAAGGAGCTTCTATAACTGAAACTGGACTGGGTTGATCTGCCTCCTTCGAGCTTGCTTGAGATTCTAGTTCTGACACAGGGCAATGCAATGTGGCTTGTTTAGATGGTCCATCTGATGGTTCCTGGAGAAATTGCAAAAGAGATACATTTGTTAAACTGATTAAAGAAATTTCACAGTAACAATCCTTATGCTCTAATACTATAACAATTTTGAACTAACCATCAAACAAGTTTACAACACGACTATGGGAAGGAGAAAATCTAGACTGAATAAGTTGATGGAAAAGGAAAAGCATGATTTATTTATTGCTAAACACTAATTTAACAAATACAGACTGCTTTGGGTCACCATCTGTTATGAGCATATTAGCAAGCAAAATCCACTGATAAAAAATGTACTATTCAAGAGAAGGCTTGTTGCATAACTGGAGAACATGGTAGAGAATGATAAAAGCCACACAACAAAACCAAAAGGAAAAGGAAAATAGATCCCTTTTTGGAGAAACAAAATTAAGATTGTGATCAAATAAATTGGCAAGGGAAAGAAACGTAAGATAACAACATTCGAATCCACCCTTGTAAAGCAGTACACTAGACAAAAAGTTAAATTCATTTTATAAGCACAAAAAGTTTATTTAAAAGACCCCATGATAACCAATATCCAACACCACGAGGCAGATAAAAGAATAGAATCACATATTTGGAGACTTACAGGCTAAAACAAACATTCAAACAAGAAAAATACCTGGGATTCCAAATTATCAAGGTCACCAGTAGAAAAATCACCATTCATTGAAGCCGAAGCTGATAATTCCATTTGAGAAGGTTCAGAAAGCACAACCTTATTCTGATCATTGACATCCACTGCATTTTCAAGAACTGAACTTGTATCCACAGAAGCGCTAGATGCCCCTGAGACCATAGGGCTCTGTTCAGGTTGATTATGCCCTTCTAAATTTTGCTTTACTTGAAATGGCGTGATATGAAATTCTGGTGAAGTGTCACTATTTTCATTGTTACTACTGCAAGTACTAGGAAATTGAGATTTCTTAAGACAGGATCTTTGTGTGCTAGGCACTGGAGCTACCCACTGACTGAAATTGCCTTTTACTGCCTTGTTTCTGTCCCACTTGAAACCCTCTTTTGGAATCACATACTTGTCCCTGCGAAGACTTTCATGGCGTGTGCTTATTCTAGGACTTCCAAAGTCAGTAGAAGAAGCTGGAACAGATCGTGATCTTGAAAGATTACCAAGACATTCATTCTTCCAACCATCCCTACTGCTAATGCCTAAAGGTTCTTTCCATACTGCTGGCCGAACATCATTACCAAAGTCACTGCATCCTTCCTCACCAACTATGCCACTAGAATTTGCTGGCCTCACTTCCTTATCTGAGATGGCAAGCATCTCACCCAGTGTGCTGCCCCTACTAACCATGTGCAACTCTTGAGTCCCGTGTGTTAGTTTCCACCTCTCAGATAGTCTCTTCTTGGCCTCCCTACTAACTGATGATTCACTAGAACGGGATGATGACCTCCTATGTTTCTTATTCCAGCCAATATTATCTCTGTAAGACACTGTTGTTACATCTGAATCATTCGCAGATTCAGATCCAGATACATCACACGAACTCTCATCTCCTGCATATCCTCTAAACCTGGAGGTTGAAAATTTCATTGAACCGTTGCTAAAGCTATTTTTCATTCGTCTAGTAATCTCCTTGGCCATTTCCCTAGACTCTCTAGAGTTATGCTTTGAAAACCCATTATCTTGGTGAACCTTTCTCTTGCCCCATATTTCTGCCTCCCTATTTTCAATACCCAAAATTTCTGAATGTCCTGTGCAATCGGATGGAAAATGATGAGAAGAACAAGGTGATGAAGCAGTTCCCATAGAGTTCTGTGACTTCCCAAGATTTGGTTTCAAGACAACAATTCTTGTGGGTGCAACAGCTGGCCCATGTTTCTCCTCTAATTGAACCTTAGGTGACTTGAGGAGATTGTGAGCAGTATATCTCCCACAAGAGTGGCTCAAAAGATCTTCTCGATGCCCCTGAGGAGATTTACTGCGGTGCTTACATTGAGTTTCTCTCCCTGCTCTTCGGCCTAAGTGACCATTTTCATTGGTCAGAGTGTGTGAGGACTTCATAGCTGATATACGACCACAGCGGGATTGGGGTTGAGCACCTTGCAGATCATGCAAATGCTTTGCGAATAATGAATCTGGTTGCTGAAGGAATTTCAGCAGAAGATCTGTGTTGGAGTCTAACACCTCGAGGGCATCATTGAATTCCTCAGAATCCTGAAGCTTTTCATCTGTTGAAAGACGTTTAGCCTCCATAAACTTCTGCTGAACAAAGGCCACCTCAGCATCAGAAAGCTTTGAATTTGCAGTCCCCTGTGAAGAGTAACTACCAGTCTCCACTTTAGATGCATCTAAAACTTCAAAAACATCTTTAAATTCCTGCTCCTCCTTTGAGCTTTTCCTAGAAGATCGTCGACTATAAAATGAGCCACCCTTTTGAACTTTCTCTTTACTCTCAGTTCTTTTCTGCTGCTTGTGCCCAGGCTGCTGAAGTGGTAGCCCATCAAGGCCCATCAATCTTGCAATAACACTTGGTTGTTGTCTTCTAGATTCATTTTCTTTGGACATCTCTTGCGCTAACAACTTCTTCATTGGGGTCCCAGTTGATTGTTTTGAAGATCTCCAACTCAACTCAAATGTTAACTGCAACAACCAGAAACATTAGATTACTACTTGAGCTCATTTCATATGATAAACAAAATAAAAATTCAGGAGAAACAAAAGCCAAAAGAGCATAAGAAGAAGCATAACTCTTATAATATAATACTACAATAAATGGAAACAAGAAAAAACAGCGCACCTGATCTTCGTCTGTAGTATCAGTACCACAGGAACTAGAATCAGATGCCAATTTTGAAAACTTTCTCTGTTTTTGAAGCTGCCTGTTTCCTGGAAATGAATCCCTATAAAAGCATTAGGATAGCTGTTCCAGAAGTAAAGAAAGGGGCAGAGTCAAAATTATTTTAGAAGCTACGCTTAAAAACTCAAGAAATCAACCTAACCAAAAAATAATAAGAACAGAAACAAAATTCAAACTTGGGAAAAGAATTAAAACAAGTGCGATAAGCGGAAAAATAAAGCAAATATTCAGAGAAATAGGGGAAAAATTTTTAAAAAGCAACTCGGCAGCTAAGCAAAGCAATCATGATTCATCATAACCCTAGAAAAACAAGCAAAATCATGTTGATAGCACCACAGAGAAATCGGAAAG